ATAGCGGTGACATTGCATCCCTAGAGCCGCCCAAGGTTGAATCGAACGACCGGATGTAGGCCACTCGCTCGCCGTTGACACGATACGACATCGGTGTCAATGCAGCTGCTGGCGCATGGGGCGATTGAATCAGACCACCTCCAACGACACTGCTGGCAATGACGCACCCGTCAGGTGCTGTCAGGGGTTGAGCCGGGTGCTTGGACCGTAGCGCGAACCTGTGAGCGCCCTCGTGCCGCCTGACGGTTTCCGACATGGTTGCCACATAGTCAAAGCTGCGGAAGGCATTGACGTGCAAGGTAACGGGAAATTCTCTTGAGAGCTCTGAGATGACGCCTATATCATCGTACTCGGTGGCAGAGTCGCCGACAGTTGCCGCAAAGATGATGGGACGAGTGCGGTTGGAAGTGACGGTGACTAGGTCTTGCTCGAGGTCTTGCAGCGAGTATGCTAGCGAGACCTGGTAGGCTTCTAAGCCGAATAGCGTTTCGAAGAGGCGAATCAAGTCGACGTCGAAGTGGTCGTAAACCACTATCGGTCTTTGAGCGGGATGCGTCCGTCTTAGTTGCTGTTGTAGGGTTCGGATGCAGTAGCAATTCGCTTCGCTGTAGCTGCAAACATAACCGGAGGGATTTGGATCACCGATCCGCGCCCCCATCGACTGAAGGACTTGTTTCTCGAATGTCTTGAAGTGAAACGGCCAGCTCGAGTCCGTCTGATCCGGCATGTTGACTTGGTTGTTGTGCCATGGCAGGCCAATGTTGGCAAGAACTCGCCCAGTGTCAAGCCAGAGTGGGCACGTAGAAGGGGCAAAGAGAGGAGATCGATTGGCCGACTTCCAGTGGTTGTACAGCTTGTCGGATTCCAATAGTACCTGGTGAATATGATGGTCTGGTTTTCGCCATTGGGTCATCACTGGATCGTATATCCATTGCGATCTTGAACGATGGAAAGTCTTTTGAATAATGTTGTCGTTCGTGGGAGGGTGGTATGGATTGTCCATTCTTTCGGATCGGCTCGGAATATATCTGAGTGGTGGGGGGGAGGCTTTTTGGGACATTTGTCAGGGCCATTAGATGTCTGACATCTAGTTTACAATAGGTGTTCGATCAGAGCACAAAAGTGAACGAGATATACAGAGTTATTAGCATTCTTGGGACAGAGTAATTAGCAACAAACAGTCCGTCCACACAGTTGGGTATTGCCCCCCTACCCGAGGGACGGGATATTATTGCGAATTTTCCTCGATTGTGGGCTCCTGACATCACGAAAATTGCCAGTACCAAAATCTCGCGAAACCCCGCAAGGGTTCCTCTTTTTTTCGTTTGGGTCCCAAGCAGCTGCACATGAGACGAAACTGCCCCCCGGGTGTGGGATAAGCAGGCGTATGAGAGAGGAAGGTTGTTGGCAGCCAATGGCGGGCGAGGTGGCCCCAATAGCGTGCAAAGGATCCATAGCCATGGATTCGATAGTCTAATGCAAGAAGTTTCGAAGACAGTTAACCAAGAACGGGATCCATAGCGGCCCGGTTGGAAGCCCCGTTGCAAGACGATTTGGCCACTGAACAGAGGCGAGAATGTCTCCGCACTCACAGAACCCAGACAATTGGTTGCTTTCGTGCTTTAGCGGACAAACCGGTTCCCTGCAAAGCACCACTGGAGCCCTTGGGAATTGGGAGTGATGACCTAACTCCCATGGCAACTAATCCTGAACAGGCTGTCCACGACCCCTGTCCGACCCATTCCGAGGCAACCTCATGGCATGATGGATACTAGGATTAACACGTAGACCCGGCCAAGTGGTTCAGACAGACGACTGGGGAGTGATGTACATGGCACTAGAGCGCTGTGGGTGGTGTGTTGTTGGGCATGGGTCCCGCCGCATTCCTGCGGGTATCTCGGGCAAATGGTCCAGACCGCAACGCTGGGTTTGGATCTGGATGAGCTGGCTATAGCCAGGGTTGGCCGGAGACTCTTATTTGGAACCCGCAATTCTGAGGAGATTTCCCATACTCCCATATTCCCGTACTCCTCCCTCTCTTGGACGGCCTCAGCCCCTCCTTTTCGTTCGAGAAGGTTCAGCAGCAACAAATTGACCAGAAACTTCCTAAACAATATGATTGGAATCAACTTACGCCACAGAGATCCCCCGGGATTTCACATTAGAGATGCCACCCTCGACGATGTCGAGGCTCTGACGCAGCTTTGGTACGATTCTTTCCACAGATCCCACAAGTTCCTCCATTTTGCCACGCCGGACGACGCGGAAACCCGTGAGTGGCTCAATGAAGTGTGGACAATGGGCATCCAAGCAGGCCCTGAAGTCCTCAGGACATTCGTCGTTGAAGACTTGAACGAGGGCGGAAGACTAGCAGCATTCTGCCGCATCCACGTTCCTCAACTGGATGGGAACCAAGACATCCCCATGCCGGAACTGCCGGCCAGCCATGACCTGGAGATTGCTGACGCCCTCTGGGGAGGCATGGCTAGAAACAGGGCAGCGATAATGGGCAAGCAGCTGCACTGGAGTGAGTAAACGGACCCCTTTGAATGATTCAGGATGAGCAAATGAAATAACATACTACAGTGGGAGAGTTTCTCGGCGTCGACCAACCCTACCAAAAACGAGGCCTCGCTACGCCCTTGTTAGACTGGATCTGCCAACAAGCCGATGCCACCGGACTCGAAATCTACATCGACGCGACGGCGGTCGGAATCCCTATATACGAAAAACACTACGGGTTCAGGCCGGTAAAACGACTCGAGATGCCAAAACGTCCAGGCAAATATGACTCTTATGCAGTGGTGGCCATGGTACGACCGCCCCTGAGACCGGTATTTCGCAGCCGGCTATGAAGGGATGCCTTTATTGATTATCAACGACGGATGGAGCACACGAATTTATGAAGTAATGTCTTAACGTATTTACATCACTATATACCTAGGAGGGGGATATCTCCCTGTTCTTTCTTTAATAATACTTCTTTTTGTTCACCTCGACGCCCATATGTGTATGATGATTCTCTCTAGACCCGTTCGTGTCGATGTCACCAGACAGTCGGGAATTCGCCACAGTGAACTGTGGAACACTCCACATCGGATCAAGTTATCCTGGGTCACGATGCTGCCATACAGACAAGGATTGCAAAAGCTGGATGGGTAGCAACGCCCAACGACGAAGACAGGCCACTGCACCTTGATGGGTCTGGAAAGGGCCAAGTAGGGGAGGAAGGACGGAGTGCCCAAGAAGAGAGTCCCAGATCTTGGACGTCGCCGTCGTTGATGCCTGGATGGTTCTTGGCCCCTCACACTATTATTAGTTAGTGGCCAACCCACCACTCTGGGTCGACCCGCTCAGTATCTTGATGAGAGTCTAAGAAGCGGGTTCCAACGACAAGACGATGCCTGATGGCCGATGATCACTGCTCAAAATCAACCTCAAGATGTCATGAGATCTTGTTGGATAGGATAGGTGATGGGTCGTCATGATTCATGAAAGTATCACGGAGCACAACGAGGAGAACTGGATGTTTAACATTTGGCTGTCACACGTCAGCTAGACCTAGACAGACCCCGCTGGTGCGGGTCTGCTCACCTGCCAAAAAACAGTCACTAGTGGAAGCCCATTCCCATGTGAGTGGGTTTATAAGACTCGGAGTAGCGGTGAGGAGAGGAGGGATTTAATGACGAAGCAGAGGGAGAAGCAGTCGGATCTCGCGTGGCAACGTAACATATCATACTTCCTTCACGGGAACTGGAGCGGTAGCTCGTAAAGCTGGATCACAAGTCGCAAGCATCTTACTAACATTGCCTGCTAAATGGATATGATTAAACAAGCATCATTTTCAGTAAAAACTAGATGTTGGTAGTATTTAGCGTTAGTAATTGAGTGAGGGGGGAGCGAGAGCCGTCACTGTCCCCCCTTCGTCGACACCCAAGGTGAAGCCAGTCACATGTCATCCTTTCCATACCACTAAAAAATAGCCTAAATGGAAATATCAAATCATATTCGATTACAGTTGGTGTACACACGTATCTAGCATTCAGGCTAGACATTGTAAGTTGTTAAAGTTGTACTCAACATACCGCCACCCAGATGCTTCAGATCAGGAACACAAAATAACATAGATTCATGACATCATTAATCTATGCTTATTGCTCCTTACAATCTATGTGAAGTGGACATATCGCATGATGCAGTTAGAATACCTCCGATTGGGGCAGGTCGCATATCGGGGTTGCATTCGCCCCCAACGGATAGATGAACTCCACGTGTTAATATTGGATCTTGAAGTAGATACAGTTCATAATTAGAGACTAAAGAGTCATGATGCTGAGCACAAATTATTTTCGGTGTTAAATATCAGATACAGTCTGGTAAAAAGGCTAACCTTTTGATGTGTTGACCATGTTGACTGTGTGATGATGTTGAAGATAGCATCAATTTATCCATTTCTTGGGTTTCGGATATTCCCACCCCCCCCTTTTTTAGCATCTGCCTGCATAGCTCTCACTTATTACTGTTTCAAATCCTAAGATGAATTAATTAATCATCTAATGAGCTGTATAAAATTGCGCGTCGCACTTACCGTTCACTGAATGGTTGAGATCCCCTTTGTGTTGGGGGTCATATTAGAGGTTTATTGGGTTGGTGAGAGTTTCCATGGGTTATATATAGTAAAATCCGCCCAGGAATTAAATGAGCGCTCTATTTGGCAATCTTAAGAAAAACGAAACAAATGGTCCGGTTAGAGACGGTGAAATGTACAAAAAGTAGTAGCTACTATGTTGTGAAAGCTCATGGAAGAGCAGCAGGGACACTCACGCCTTGTCAACGTAGCAGCAGTGCTGGATAGTCAGCTTGACTAGAATCAGGGCGTCAAGATACGCGCGTCTATATGACAGGGGCTAATACGATCTTTGGAGCGTGTGTATGTTCCACCATGTATTAAAGAGGCTCCCTCCCGAAAACTAAACCAATTCCACTTCATGCTGCGGCGCCTAAAATCTCGAAATGTCTCTACCGGTAATCCAAGTAGCTGCCCAATATACAGGAATTAGTAGCCTATTACGAATGCTAAAACTTTTAACCAAGTACGCGGCGCGCCAGAGAAGCCAAGCTGCTATCCCCTTGAGCTCCCCTTTACTGTTCTGATGGATTGCTCTCGAGCCGCCTAAGTATGCCATGGCTCCCATATCCCTGAATTTGAAGGGTTTCATATCTGCCTTGGGGTTATTGAGGTAACACCCAAGGTGGGCGGCCTGTTGGTTGGCTACCTGTGCCGTGGCTGGAAGACGCTGATGCTCCATAACTGTACAGTCGCCGATAGCAAAGACATCAGGAAGAATAGAATCATCGTCGGTGCGCACACGGAAGTGAGAGTCAACTACTATCCCCCCAGTGCCAGTGTCCTTCGAGATGTTACCATGCCCCTCGATCTTCTGTTGGACAAGGTTCTCGACAAGGGGACTCTGCCTCAATCCAGTGCTCCACAGTACCACGCCGGCACCGACATCTTGGGGCTCCTGATCAATCTTGAGAGATAAAAACTCTCCGGACCGACGGATGCTTTTCAAGGAGTGTCTAGTCTTGACCTCGATTCCTTGTTGGCGAAGCCTGTCGACTGCATAATTCGTCAGGCTTTCGCCAAACATAGGAAGAACTTTGGAAGAGATGTCATAGATTGTGATCTTGGCATAGGGCAATAACTCGGGGTACATTTTGTTCAGATCCTTACGAAGTAAATCATTGAGTTCCCCTGCGAATTCGATACCCGTTGGTCCACCACCAACAATGGCGAAATGGAGAAGCTTTCTTCTGTCGCATTCAGGGGTAGTTTGCATGGATGCTTTTTCAAAAGCTCGAAGGACTCTTTGCCGTAATTTGCGGGCGTCGCCAACGTCCCTGAGAAAGCAAGCATACTCTTCGACGCCTTCAATGCCGAAGGTTTGGCTGTGGCAGCCCACAGCTAGCACGAGTTGGTCATATTCGACCTCGAACGTTGTCCTGCTGCCAACGGGCCGGGACTGATTGCTCGCAACATCGTCTGGAGGGGCAGATTCCACCAAGACAGTCTTTCGTTTGAAGTCCACGCCGGAAGCCCAGCCTTGGTGGAACTTATCAAGACCTAGTCGACGCACTGGTTCTATAGAGGCTCGAGGTTCGATCGTGCCAACTGAAGCTGAAGCAAGAAGGGGCGTGAATACGAAGTGAGATCGAGGCGATATGAGGATTCGAGTGCTGTTGGCTGGGGAAAGAGTTCGAGCGAGTGTGTAGCCCGCCCAACCTGAGCCTATGATGACGACTCGTTTCTTCTTTGTCGGTGGTTTGTCTGAACTTTTGGTTAGACCTTCGAATTTCCAAGTAGATAATAGAAAGAAAACGGAATTTGCATAGTTATGGAGAGTTGATCATGGGCTTTGGGACATACCACTGGCTGTGCTGGCTTGTCTGACACCTAAGATCAAGCGAGATCGCTTCTCTGTTGAGTGCAGAGGACCTCCCAAAATTCGACGGAAGCCCATTATTGTAATAGTCTTCATCCTTGTTCCAGTCTCTCAGCGATAATATTTGATATCTTTTTGAGAGCACACGGTCTCGTTGTTTTATATGTCTTTCAAACTCAGTATCATTCCTTTCGGCCGATCTCGGCGAACCGCGGTTCTTCACCATATGTGTTCATCATCACTTCAAGTCCCTAGTCCAATGATTTACTTGTGATTATCTAGTCATTTTCACCTGCCGGCCTCGGAAGTCTGGGGTAAGAGACACCAGAAAGTGATGGCAGTAGATTTACTTTCTCTGGTAAGCCACTAGCGGGGGATATTGATCTTGTTCCCCGGGCAAATGTATTACACATCCGGTCCTAAGGATGTTTGCTCATATCGATGAGGAGAGGTCAATGACACAACTCTGCTAGAGATGACCTAGCAGCAATGCTTATACGAATCCAGCATGGCGCGCAATGCATCTATAACCCCTTGGAGGAACGTTGAACTGAAAAGCGGCATGTTACTCCCGAATAGCTCCGATATCTAGCATGCCAACGGGAGAAGCCGCCCCGGTGATGAAAGAAAGGAGGCCTTATCTACGTCACATGTAGTTTACCAGATTCAATTACCCCATTGAGGCAAGCTATTGGAGATCTCACCTCGGGGGACCTTTCCTCGATCATCCTTTGTAGCGTCAAGTGTGAGTTGCGATTTCGGCCCCTCCTCAGCTGGAGAGCTCCTCCGCTTCTAGCCGCCCAGAGCTCCGCCCCCAGATCATCACGTCTGCTCATTTATGCTAACGGTTCCGAAATCGGCCGCTCACAGGCCATGTGCTAATTAATTAAACTCGAATCCGATGCCCCCCATGTGAATCTGGCCGTTTAGATATCTAGTTCAGGGAATGGCGTCAACACCTGAAAAACCTAGTGATGCGGTAGCTAATGGCAACGCGATCATTTCAAAGCTTGTGATCCACTGAAAATGCTGAACCCTGCCTGGTACGCATAACTAGGGCGAAAAGAAATTTGGAAGACTGGAATTAAACCATAGTCTTTCCCCTCGATTGTCTTATTTGTAATTCAGACTGCTGCCTACAAATGCCCAAGGGAAATGCATGCGATCTGGATGACTGCGATGGCTTTCCAATGAAGTATAGCGAGACATAGGTTCTAGTTGATTTGGTCGAGTTCATCCTCATTTGAGTTGGTAGGTGATATGCCGAGGCATACAATTGATGGATGCACATTCTGCTTACTTGCCTGAGATTTGAGAAGCGGTGTCGGGCATGTGATCCGCATCTGCCATTGCTACTGTAACCTTGTGAAGAACCGACTATATGAACACTTGTTGAAATCGAAACTAAGCTTGTCACCGACTTGACTTTTTATTCGACCTGAATGTAGTAGGTGAATAGAAACAAGCTGTCACTTAAATGGGTCTTCACCTGTAAAACCCTTGTTCTCATCCCACTCGTAGAAAGACGGGGTGAGGATAAATGTTTTTGTTTGAACATGGTCGAGCCAACAGTTGCATGACATATGCCATGCTTTGTCCGAAAACGTCAAGAAGATGCGAACCCGGTCACATTGCCACGCAACCTTGAGGCTTGGCGGGTAACTGAAAGGTCGCATGCAGATGCATACTCCTGCATTTCATGCCCTGTGTAGGGGTTACGGTGACAATCCGAGTCTTGGACGCCTGGGAAAATTACCCCTCAGTGACGGTTGGCCCCATGCCGCCCACTCCCCCCTTTCTTTCTTCACAGAGGAGGGAATCCCGCAAATGCGCGCCGAGATTCTTAGTGAAGAGGTCCGCACAAACTGCTAGTACACATCCAGCGTCATCAAATGCATGGTTCGAGGGATTGGCCCTATTCTTACACCCTCCACCTACTCCGCATGGAACCCCTGAGCTCACCTATTACATCTCTCAAAATGCCGGGACTGGAGCGGTGGCTAGCATTAACTTCAAGATTCCTAAGTCATCTGGAAGGGCCAGGCACCACCTCCCCGCTGACAAGAGCGATTTTTTCGACGTTGGTGTCTCGGCTGTTCCATGGCACTATAACAGCATCCTCTTCGTCTGCGTTCTGATGCTCTCTGACCCCAGTGAAATGGTTGGCGGCGAGATGACACTCCGCCTCCATGGTGGAGAGACCCGCAAGATCCATACCGGAGGTCCAAATGATATAGATCATGAATCTACAGTCAAGAGATAAACTAGAGAAGGTGGAACCATCATGTAGATTTCTTGAACGCGAAATGTAGTTTAGCAGGGATGTGCCCTGCTATATCGCAAGTGATTTATGAACAGCTTAACCTTTAGAGAAAGGTAAAGTGACACTTGGAAAAGAATGAGAAGGGCTGCGGCATATCTCAGCGTATCCATTACCTTGTCTTCGAGCTACATTATGGTACAATCAGGAACTTCAGAATCATCCCTTTTCTGTATTCGTTCCAGCCTTTCCTCGACCGTTTCCACATCCTTCCAGTACATGTGCGAAACGAAGCCAGCTCGCAATTTGTCGAACACTCTGGCCATCACGCGCAGGCACTCCTCATCGTCCTCTTTCAAAGCACCAAGGACTAGAGCCATTCGCTTGTCTCCGGAATACTTCGCGTTCTCAAACGACTTGATGTACAGGGGATTTCGGGTTTTGCAGAGTTCCTCTTCCACGGTCATGAAAAACATGTAGACAATGGTGGTAGGCCATAGGAAGCTCAATCCCATGACGGGCATGTTGCCATTTATGGCTGTAAAGATGTCCCACTTAGACTGTTCTAGATAGTCTGTCGTCGTCACATCTTTCTTATTCCGGGGATAGCTTGTGGTCAAACCTGCCATCTCCGGTGCAGTATCCATATATCTTTCCACTTGTTGGGTTTTGAGGTCATCCCAAGCATGCATAGAGGCAAGAGTGTCGACCGAAGAGGCAAGGGCGGTTATTTCATCTTCGCTCATGCCGTACTTTTTCGCTCTGCGCACCAATTCGGTCTCTTCCACCTTCATCTTTCCGGTTACCGGATCCCTCAGTCTTTTGAGTTGGGAGAGCCGCTGGGCAGCGAGGATGGATGGAAACAAGACGTCGCTGTCAGGAACTCTCTCTGGATCCCATCCCGCTTCTCTGAGAATTTGCGTGTGCGGTTTGGTTTTGAAGAACATGTTAGCCTGGGGATTAAGAGCACCAACAAGATCTGCAGCGCCTTTGTTCCTGGCCCTGGCTCGAATGTCCCTCTTTTGGGCGTGATCGAGAAAAGCCTGAGCAAAGTTGGAAGTGGGTAGTGTTTTGGTATTGGCAAACAGGGAACTGGCAAAAAGTCCCGCAATGGAGGACCAGAGTCCGACCGGATTTTTCAGAAAGCCTTTCTTCTCGAGCATGTTGTGAAGATGAATAACCATCGCGAGTTCCGGGGCCGTGTCCCAGATGTAAACGCCAATCAGATAGGCCAACTCTAGCCCCTCCAAGAGCCCAGCACCGCACAAGAATGGCGAATACTCGTACAATCCATTCGCATTCGTGCTGGTGAATCGCGAAGGTGGAATGGTGTTCAGCCCATACTTGTATTTCGTCTCACCGAGCCAGTCGATGAAGTCAACCCTGATCGCTTCCAATACCGTGAGCGCTGCTTCATGAAGATTTGGTTTACCACGACTTGCTGCATCGCGTTCGAGGAGTTGCCTGAGAACGAATTCGCCCTGTAGGAAACCGGCTTGGGTCTTGTTGTGCCGATCCAGGAAGAGATCAACATCCCGTCGTGGAAAGAATTTTGGGGGAGGGGCAGTAATGATATGGCCATAGAGACAGTTTACTCGCCATCCACGAGACACCGTCATGGAATCCACGATACACTGAAGCTGGAAGACGTGGTGGGGTTGAATCTTGGATTTCAGGTCTGCTGATGGGTTTTGGAAGGCTAGCGATGTGACGAAGCCGGCAAATTCATTGAGACCGAATAGCCTGCGGTGCTGATGCCATGGACCGCTGGTTGACCAATCCACTGTGGCGAGATCATGCTTTTCTCCTTTGACAGTAATGCGTTGAACGACGATCGAGGAAAACAGGTTAACAAGGTCATACAACCAGTTGATGGTGTAAGAACGCCGCCATTTGATCCTATCCTCTAGGGTCGCCCTTTCAAGGTTGAATTTGGGATCCCAATTCGCCAGCTCTGTCTGCATTCGTTTTGTCGGTTTCCCGGTGCGATTCAAGCGGAAATCGGTAATGAAATCACAGAAATCCTTGTAGACATACATGAGGAATTGCTCCTCGATATCTACATAGCTCTCGCGGACCTTTCTCACGTCTGCGTTATCATCCGCAGCTGTCAACAAAGATATCGCGAAGTTCTTCTTGAGCTTTTCAGGGTTTCCCCTGGTAATTGTTTGCAGAATGGCGTCAAAAGAGTCGTTGCCTGGAAAATCTACAAAGATTTGTGTAGCCATTTTCCGAACAGCAGTAATAGCCATGCTCGAGACAGCCGCAGCTACGGCGCTATTCAAGTCATCGTATGCTACCTCCCACCAGAGGTCCTGTGTATATGATCTGACGGCGATAATTTCTCGGAAAACATCGTACACGGCAACCAAGTAGTCGGTCATGATTCCGGGTCCCTCTTTCTGGCCCTCATTGAAGTCTTCAATGATGCGGAAGCTCTCCAACGGCACATCGTCCAAATCAGCTTCTCGTAATGTGGATTTTGCACGCCCAGATGCCTTCTTAGAACGTCCCTTCTTCTTTCCTTTGCCCTTTTTGCCCTTTCCGGCCCTGGGGGCTTGTCGTCTGCGGGGTGCGTTGTGTATCTCAGGCTCGGAATCTTCTGCATCGGATTCACTCTCTTCAGCTTGGCCGGTGGTTACTCCCAAGGCAGAGAACTTGTTTGAAAGAATGAACTCATCTAGATCAGCCTCTTCATCCGGAGTCCCCGACTGCGAGGATGTCCAGGTGGACCCGCCCAGGGCATCAAAAGCTTCCTTGAGGGCGTCAATGAAGTGCTTGTGGGAGGCATTGCTCCTTGCAAGCTCTGGGTCCGGGTCGTCTCCTGCCAGCTTTTCAAAGAGCGAGTGGACTTGGGAGCGGGCGTCGATTATGGACTTGAGCAATCGCTGAATGATTGACGGGACAGGGATCACATGGGCGGCGATCAGTTTGGACATGGCGACCAGGCCGGAAACAGTGGTCTGCCCCGTGGTGTTGAGGCTCAACGAGTCATGCTCAGGCTTCTCCAAGCCACGAAGGATATGGTTGGAGGCATGGATCATCCAGTAGACCAAGTACTTGGTGTCCCTCTTATACGTCGTGTAAAGATTGCGATCCGCCATGGCTGCGAGTGGTGAAGCATGCGTCTTGCTCGGCCAAGGCTTCTAATGTTCGAGGATGAAAAGCGGTGCGGGCAAGTTTCAGTTGGTGAACAGGAAGGCAGGTGCAAACGCGACTGGCAGAAAGAGGAACGCTGATTGGCTGGCCATAATAAGCGGGTCCCTGCGAATTGGTACCGACAGAGACACTACAGACATTGATCGTTGTGACAGCTTTGCTGTGACATGAACCCATATGGACCAATTTCTTTATGCCTAGCTGCATGAAGCGCTTGTGAGCAGCTCAAATTCATTTTAACATAAAGCGTGGGGTGCCGCACAGCTGAGGCGGATAATCATCCTGAAGAGCATAGCGAGATTAACATGTAAGCTTTTAAGTCTATATGCTAACAGTAGAATTACTATTATTTCGAAGATACTGGATATGAATAGTTGTTAGATTTGGTATAATAATGTAAAGCGCCTCTAGTAAAGTTAGCGAAGTACAAGTAGGGACAATGTTACTATTCTACAAGTAGTACTCATATCTCAACAGAACATCGATAGCTGTTATACGAACGACGACCTCTACAATGACATCAGCCTTATTTTCGTGCCAACACGCAGAAGTCCGCGCCTCCCACCGCGGCCCAATCCACAACAATAGCCCCGAGAACCAAAGTGCTAGCGGCCGTTCTAAGCCAAGTATGGATATCGAGCTTATGGGCAAAAGAAAGGGATCAGTCTGCGAAACTATAATCATTCTGAGTTGGTGATTCCTTATGGCGCATGCATGTCGGCAATTATGAGATTTGCTTCAGTCGCCGACAAGGACCTCATTAACGTTCCCCAGAGTTAACGTTCGATTTCAGCTTTGTGTTCCATGAATTTGTCCAGCTGGGCTTCCTCGAAGTTGTGCCTGTCTGATAATGGTGCACTGTCTAGGTTGTTGATTTATAGTTGGACATACTGCTTGAAGGTCCCCACGTCTAAAAATGTAAAGACAATAAAGCCTGGCTCTTATCAAGTGAATGTATGCAACTCATATTTATCGTGCATTTGTTTGTCGTCGCTTTGCTTTCTCACAATATTGTATTTCGTATCCTGGACAAAGGCGGTTATGGTAAGTGAGAGAGCTATACAGTTATGCCGTAGTTGCTGAAAAGAAAAGGGGAGAGGAAATTGCCAAACACTAAGAAATTAACAGCTTGACACCATACCCAGTATCATAATTCAGTAAAATTCTGCCTTTTTGCCCGGGTACGAGGCTTGTGCCAGGCCGTACATAAGGTTCAATACCAACAATGGCTGTGCCCAGCCGTGCCAGAGGCGGTCCTTCAGCAGCCTTGTGAAGCATAACGTTATAGCCTTTAATAATAACTAAAGAAAAATCTAATATACTTATATAATTTCTTATAACCTTTTCTAATACTATAAGATATTAAAAAATAATTAGCTATAAATCTGCAGTTAGTATACTAATACTTTTATATAGCCTATAAATATAGATTTATTAGTATATAAACTAGATCTATAGTAGATTTCTATCTAGTTTATATTATCTAAATAAGATTTTTAATACTATTATAATAGTATATAGATATTATATAATATTATATAATATTATAGTAAATCCTTATAATATTCTAATTATTATAACTTTTATAATATTAATATACTAGAAGGAGATACTATATATTTTATACTAACTTTAAAATAAATCTAAAAGAAATTCCTTATAAAACTTATAAAATTTATTAAAATTAAGATCTTTATTAGTTATTTAGTATTATAAATATAAATACTTACTAACTATATA